AATGTATGAAAGTTGTAGATAAGTTGTATAATATATAATTAGTTGTATGAAATTTATTTTTACCATATATAAATCAGATACAAAATATACGAAAGACATATTGTATAAAATTTGTATAAAAATTATATTTAAGTTGTATAATATTTAGATGTATTTAACTGGGAAAAGATAATATATGAAAGTTGTAAATAAGTTGTAAATAGGTTGTATACTATATAATTAGTTGTATAAATTTATTTTTACTATGTAAGTTGTTGTAGATATTCAAATTTGCATTAAATTTGTACAAAATTTATTTTTAATTCGTATGTTGAAGTACCATACATTGTTCTTTTCTGATTAGTTGATTTATTAAGGAAAGAAAAGTAGAGAATAAATTCCAAATCAACTCATGTGCACTGATTCATTTTTGTTTGAATGGAAAACTTGAATATTGATGGGAATTGAATGATTTTGGTGGAGAAATTTCGAGTTTCACATTAAAAGTGCCACCGTTCCACTTCGGAGAAACTGAGTTTTATGTGAAATTTGAATTTTGTGTGAGAAATTAACTGAGCAGCATAGATTCTTGTTGGAAATACTAATACAAAGTTGAATTTAAAGTTTGGAGGCGATTGAATTTAATCTGAAATCTGCTAAAACTTCAAATCTACTCAATTATACTTTTTGATCCAATTGCGATTAATTAGTGTTGTAGTTTGACAATGTTGTTATGAAATTGTTCAATTAAAGCATAATAGAGCAATCTTATAAGAAAAATTCACATGTTTTTCTTATTTATCCTACTTGTCACAGACTCACAAGCATATGTATTCTGTGTTTTGTTTTCAAATATTTATGCAGTGATTATTGGAAAAATAAAACTTTATTTGACTTTCAATGAAAACCAAAATGAGTTTTCAAACGCTGTTTTTCTTAGAAAACAAAAGAAAACTAAAATCCAACCCAAACGGCTATTGGTTGTCATGAGAACTAGTACATGGTATCTCTTTTCAACAGAAAATGCGGAAAAACAGAACTAAAAGAAAAGGAAAATAAATATTCTGTAAACAGTACTGTATCATTTTTCTTTTTTTTTTTGTAAGTAACTGAAATTCTATTTGTTATGGCTTAATACACAACTGGAAGGGGTTATTAAAAGAGGAATGGAGAGAAAATAGGAAAAAAATATAACTAAATCCCCTAATTTAAGGCATTAATTATGGATTGTATATATTTTATAACTAAACCATGTTTAGGCTGGGTAAAATAAAAAAACATGAATATTTTTCGTAATAAGGTTTCAAATAATGTATAGGAATGAAAAAATACCTTAAATATATTTACAATTTATAATGTATTTAAAGATTAACCAATTTGCCCAAACTTCAGGCCTAAGTATCTTGAGTTTGTATCCTGAATTTTTGAGCTGCTAATTTGAAATTCAGGACTAAGTGTCCTAAATTTATGAACTGTTAATTTAAAATTCAGGATAAAAAACTCGAATTCTTGACACAATTTTCGACACAATCTTAAAGTTTGAGCAAATTGACTAATATTTAAATATATTATAGTCTATGAATATATTTTAAATAGAGAAATTTTCATAAAGCACTATCTTTTAGTAGTAATTAGCCATCGATAGATACCATTTGCTATATTACAGATTATAGATACCTTTTCTGTGGTTATAAGATGTATTTGATGTATTTAAGCTATTGTATTCATGAATACAGTAGCAAAAATAGGCGTGAATCAGGGAAGTCCAGCTAATTAGTTGTTGTATTCGAGTGTATTCGACATGGAGTGAAACATGGGATTACAAGTGGACAGATTATTGTATTCAACTGTATTCACGGCGTTAAATAAGGAATTACACTGTTTTTAAAACGGAAAGTGAATCAATTAACATAATAGACTCCTAATATAACTCAACAAACTCAATTATAACACACAAATTTTGTATTTTCAGTTATAAAAAAAATTCTCAACCGAAAAATACCCCAAAAACATAGCCATCTTCAGAGAAATTATATAATACATCTGAATGCATAACTTATATTAATTAAAAAAATATATGAATACATTCATGGCATATAACAAGACAGTGAATACAATAAAATACATAGAATACAACGGGATACATTAAAATACAATAAAAAGAAAAGACAATCTTCGAATCGAGTGACTTTAACATTTACAGCGATTGACGAAGAGCTCACGGCCATGGAAGCTCCACGAGGCCACGTACTTCTCTCTTTTTCTGCCGTAGTTATACATACATAACCTCTGAAACCTCCGTTTCCACTTCCTCCAAATTGACAGAAAAATTAGCTGAAAACAACAAACAATGGATCACTACAAAATATTAGGGGTTAACACGAAGCGCGAGCAAGGAAGATATTAAACAAGCGTTTCGAAAATTGGCAATGGAATTTCACCCCGACAAGCACGCACATCACCGCAACAGTTAAAGGAAAATGCTACTCTAAAAAATTTGAAAGAACGAGAGAGAAAAATAATACAAAGAGTATTTTATGGCTTAAGAGTAGGAGGTAGTCATAAATAGATATTTGACCATAAAATTAAAAAGGTATCCATTGAATATAATTTTTTAAAAGGATATTTATTTAATTTAAAATAAATATAGTATCAACCGGAGGTAAAAAATCCTTTTAAATATCATTGCTTAAAAGTGGTTACCTGGTGTCATTTCTACATTTGTAAGGCTGCCCAGGTGTGAAAGACTTGAAGCAGGCCCAAATAATATGGATTACAGTCCATCTCGAACTATATCCGGTCCAGGCCCATTAAATATGGAATCCAAATTCTTACTCGAGCACCTAGCTTCATCTTCTCATACAATTTCACTGTAATTTGATCAATCTCCACACACTCACTCTCTCTGTAGAAGAAATGGAGGAGAAAATAAGCTGCGACGGCGGTCACGAATTCAAGCTGCTGCTCTCATGTCCTTCTGGTTTATCTCCTTCACAGGTCACTTACTTACTTTGCTCATTGTCTGTTTTCTCTCTTCGCTTTCTACATTTTTATTATACTCTTTTTTGTAATCTGAATGTGCTTTGGGTAAAAGGTGTCGGTTGTTTTCGATGAAGCATACGACAGGATTCCCCATTCCGATTCTTCTTTGGAGCACTCCATTTCCGAGGTTTTGTTTCTAATTCTCTTCCTTTTAAGAATTAGATTTAAAGTACTTTAAATGACAATCTTGTAATTAGAAATGTTTAGAGAATATTTTTGAAAAAAAATCATAGTTTAAGAAAGAAAATGTTTGATTTCCAAATAGTAATGGTTTCATGTAAAAATGAAGCAGAATTAATACAATGCAAATAGAGCTGTTGCTTTTGTTGATCGTGAGAATCACACTTGATTAAAAAACCAAATACCAAACTCTAATTTTCTAGGTAATTGTCTGTATGTTTAGGCTGATAGATCAGAAAACTATAATTACTCGCTTGGGGCAATACCGGAATTTGTTCTGAATCTTTTGATTGGTATAACGTGTTGTCATGTTTTTAGATATGGGATGCAAGAGTTCAACAAAGTTCATCCCTTTACAATGGAACGAAGTTTAGGGTATGCTCCACTCTTCTTCCATTGCATTTATCATTTAATGTTTATATTGAACTATAGATAGTTTGGTTATATCTGTTCAGTCTAGAATTTGGACAATGTAGTGTTGTCACTTTGATGACCACAGTTGCAGCTCCATTACTTATAAGAGAGTTTAGTTAGTCATTTCTAGTTTATCAGATACACCCAAATATGATATGCATAGAAGCTGCATATCTTGTGTGTTATTTCCTTCTAAAAAAAAAAAGAATGTTAAATATACTGATACTTTTACAGTATGGAGGATACAATTTTGATGTAGGAAATGATCCCAAGCAACAGCCTCATGTTTCCCTTCAGCTTGGTCTGACAGATTATAGGTTCTTCTCTATCTTGCGTCTTCTTTCTTCCTGCCTTCCTTTTTTCTACATGTTTTTCCATTTAATGTGCATGTAATGGAAAACATATACCCATCCAGTGCAATTTGGACAGGCTAATGTTACTGTCCCAAACTTATATCAGCATGTCGAAATGGTAAATTATTAATGAATTGTTCTTTATTTGTGTCGCTAAAATCTTGGGTGAAATATGAGAATTTGTGTATGCCTGCAATGTGCCGTCAACACATTAATTTGGTCCATGCATTACCCGAAAAGAAGAGCAAAAATACGGAACAATATAGAAAATACAAATAAAATATTCTTACACTTGGACTTTTCTACTCAGGACATTTGTGGGGACAAATTTAAGTCCTATTTGGGAAAGATATCTTGTTCCTTCTGAAGGTAAACTTCCATGAAATACAATTGTTTATTGAGTTGCTTCTTCCTAAGGGAACGACTGTTCCCTGCACATCTCTAATGTATCTGCTACCATAAACTGCAATCTATTTCTTTTTTCTTTTAGTTTCCTTTTCTATACTCTTTCGCTTTCCAACATAAGGTTTGCAGCTAATTTGATATCTTATGAATTCTAAGAGGGATAAGTTACAAGGTTCTTATGTGATGCAGAACTGCATATAATATTGCACAGAGCAGGCACTTCAAGTATATGAAAAGGGATGAAAATGTTTCTGACTGATGTTCCAACTTGCGAGATCAAAATTCGTTTGTGCTAAAAAAATGTGACTTGGTTTTCTGCAGATGATTGCATACAGTGTCAGCACACATCAAGTCCTCTGGGTAATGGTGCAGTTGTGGAGACTTCTGATAAGAAAATACTTGTGCTTCAGAGAAGTAATAAAGTTGGAGAATTCCCCGGATATTTTGTTTTTCCTGGAGGCCATCCAGAGGTATCTCATCTCATGTTGTAAGGACACCTTTGAGATAATGGCAACAAAATTCTGATAAATATAAGCTTTCACAACTCAAAATGGGAGAGCGAAAATGGTTGTAACCCAGCAAGCTACTCAAAACCTTTCATATTTAATAACGTGTGGGCTATGGCAGCAAAAAGCAGTCATATTTCCGTTTGTCAATTGGTACTTAATGATGTTCACCATTTAGACCTTTAGCTAAACAGTGTTTTTAAGTTGGGTAACTTGTTATTCTATATTTCGTTAAATTCACATGTTTATAATGTAACCACCAACTTGTGTGACCTTATCTGACATTGCTTTCTGGAATTGTAAGCTTTGTTTTAAGTTTATTTAATTAGAAGATCACCTAAGGGATTTTGAATGTGTGACTGCTTTCATGCAAAGCACTCTTCTTTTGCGTCAAGATTAAGCTGTGGAATCTTTGTTACTACACTGCCCAAATATGTCCGGATAATAAGCAACACATGGCATGATTGTATTTATGCTTTTAACAGCCCCAAGAAGTTGGAATAATCTCCCATGAAGGCTTCCAAGAGCTGAATCAATGTCGCACAATTAACAACAAAGTTTCTCAGGAAATGTTTGACAGCATTGTCCGTGAAGTTGTTGAAGAAATTGGAGCTCCTGCAGATAGCCTTGTAAGTGGTGATCTGTGTTACTCTAATCGCCTTCTTTCTTTCTTCTATAGCCTTCCCAAATCCAATTTGTTATAGAAATTAACACCACAAAATTGGGAGAAAGGAGAGTGCTTTCTCTTTCTTTTTCTNTATGTGACTTTTTCTGGTCTCTGTAATTTGTTAGGATGATGATTGATTTCATTGTCAACTCCTATCTAAACTTTCCACTTCGCACTGCTCTGTATAACCATGTAATTCCTGTATGGTCAAAACTTTTTGGGTAGCAGACAAGTGAAATGGATCAAGTTTGTAATCTGGAAGGAGAAGAGAAGGACCTGGATAAGCGATATCACAGACTGGATAAATATAATGTCTAATCAACCTTGTATCAGGGCTCAACCTGATTTTCCTTCTGGTTTTTGTAATATCAAATAGCACAATCACGTTGAATGTTGAGAATTATCATGCTTGTCGGTTTGTCGTATACAAAAGTCATTTAACTGTACCTAGATTTTTTTCTTCTTCTTTTTTCTTATGTGGCCCTAATAGGAAAATATGACCGTGTATTTCGAGTAACGCATGTTTCTTATTTCTCACTTAATTTGTCAGCTATAACATTAAGATCTACCTCAAAACTGTAATCAAATAATTTACCAAGATTATTAAATGTACCACTTTAATCAAATGTAGTGTACATAATGTAGGACACATTGATTGTCAGTTACAAAATAAAGTTGCATTTGTAAGCTGATCAGCTGGAGACTGGTGACTAATTATGAATATGGCTGTCTGCAACTCTTGAGGGGGCTGTTTTTACATGCACCCTTAGATTGTTGTTTCCTTTCTGATAAGATTGCATCATTTTAGGATTCAAATATTTAGAAGTCACCTAACTCTTGTTCTTTATTCTTTATCTTTGATGTTATATCAGTCCAGCCCCATCTTTATTGGTATATCCCGAAGAGTAATGAATGTTAGGCCAACTGCTTTTTTCTTCATCAAATGCAATCTTCAGTCTGATGAAATTCAACAATTGTATTCTAGCGCACAGGATGGCTTCGAGTCAACTCAGCTTTATGCTGTTTCAATGGTTAGTTTTACAAATTGTTAAAGTAGTTCTACTGACTTGTCTTATCTATTAATTTTTGCTCAACTGCTGTATGGATCCGCTTCTGCTGATCTCTGTGGAATCTATAGCTTAGCCTAGCAGGAGTCCCATGTGGAGGGAAAAGGACCATCTATAGCATGAGGTTTTGGTCTAATACACAATGCTAACAATGTAGTGCAACTGAAACTGTTGTAACAAGGAAAGAAAGTGTTACTGGAGTTAGTTAAAATTGGAGCCAATTGAAGCTTTTCGCTTAATTATGGATTCTGAATTTAATATTTATTTTTGGATTATCTGTTCTCTTTGAGATTCCTTCTGGAAATTTTTAGCATCAGTGTCATCTTTGCAACCATACAGAGCTCTAGTAGTTCATAGTATCATTCTGAAAATGTCTGATTCATCCCAATTTTATTGGGATTTTCTGTTTTTAATCTTGAGAATTACACTAATGCTACAAGGAAGTTTATTTCTGAGTTGGTGTACTGAATCTTTGGAATCAGGAAAAAGTCTGGTCTATAAATCATATTATGCCTTCTCTAGAATTAATTAGAGTTCTGTCTACATTTTTCTCAGAATCTTTTGTTTATTATGAGTTGCATGATGCAACTATAGCACTAGCTGCTGTGCCTGAGAGCAATAAAAAGTGATAATTGCAAATGATACCACTTTTGTCACGATCCAAACCGATGGGCCGCGACGGGCACCCAGTACCTTACTCAACCGAGTATCAACATAACGTATCTTTTCATGTCATACTGAGTCGGAAGGCTGCCGTGAGATAAGTAGAATACAACATGTGATACCAACTTATACATAAGACA